TAGGGTCTTCCAAGAAACAATATTTTTTAAGGTCGCGACTTTCTTTTAGAGACTCTCTCTAGAGTCTTCCATGAAAGAACCTTTTTTGGGCTCTCTACGTTTTTCTAAAAACTTTCTCTCTCTAGGGTCATCTTCTCTGAAGATCTTCTCTCTTAAAGGCTTCTTTTCTTTGCCTTCTAGAGGCTTTCTCTCTCTAAAAAAAATGATTATCATACAGGACGTAGTAATGGAAAACTTCATCATCAAACAAGATCAAATAATGAAAAACTTGATCATCAACTAGGATCGAAAACTTTGATCATCTTCATCTCTTCATCTGGAGACAGAACTCTTGATCATCAACCAGGATAGAGAAATTCGATCATCTTCATTTCCTCATCTGGAGACGGAACTCTTGATCATCAACCATAACTTCTCTTTGCATAGTAGTTAGACTGATCCAAAATCTGAATTTTTTTGTCCACATAGCGGTTACATTAGAGATGTTGACTTCATCTCTACTCATCTCATCTCCATATCTCCTTTACTCTCCTCCTCAAGTTAGGTGTGGATGTGAAGAAACTCCCAACTTGCAAATTACAATTTTTTTTTCTTTTGAGTACAATCATATAAAAAAAGATGCCAATGAAATTGGGCTTCTAGACAATAGCCCACATCTTTAAAAAAAATACCACTTTGTTTTTTTTTTTTTATTCTCCTCCCTTGTTCAAGATTTCTCTCTATCTACATAGCACCAATAAAAGGAGGGGCGGGTTTTTATTTTTCTTCTCTCTAACAACCCAACTGGAAGCAAGAACTTCTTCTCTTCATCTTTGTATGAACGAAAAAATAATGATCAGAAAATCTCTGATCTATTGAAGACTGATTCATTATAACATAATCTTCTTGGTCGCATCCCGAATAACATGAAATTGCAACAATTGCATTAATTCCAACAGGCAGCTGCCTAAAGTGCAGGTGTTCCATTGCATGTATTATAACATTGCACGTGTTGTAACATAGGGCTCCTAAGGATAGTAAAGAACATACGCCAAAGTATCCATTCGAAGCTGGTAATTGGTCACATAAATGCCCATGGCTTGCTTCTCCATAGTAGACTGGTATGTGTTACGACGAGACTCCTACTTCAGTTTGTTGTTGGTCGTTTCCTACCTTAGCTGCTTGTGCCTTTTTCGCAATAGAGGAGGCGACAAATCGAAGCCCTAGGTATTTCAAAAGGTGACAAAAGAGACTATATTGGCATCTGCCGTTGACCACTCTCTTTCTAAAAAGAGGGGGATCGGGCGGCAGCCTCCGAGGAAGGAAGAAAGGAATGGGACGTCTGCCTCCGAGGAAGGAAAGAATAGCTCTGATACCATGTTAGAATTTATGGTAATATACATGCATAGAAATTGAATGGAAAGGAGCATGGAGAGAAGAATGGAGAAAGAAGAAGAGATAATACAACATTTACATGGTTCAGGCCGAAGCCTTACGTCCACGGATCTAAAACCCAACCGGCTACATCTTCACTATTTTGGATGAATCTTTACATTAGAGAATACCTCTATATATAGAGGACAATTACACAACTAGAGGAGATAAATATGATGTGATAACTTTATGACCAAGTAACTTGGTCTTTATCTTCTAGATACATATAACCTTATCAAGAGATATATACATATACATCGATAATGATGTATATCAATATGAACCCGAGATATCCATATCCTAACATGAACAACAGAAAGCAAATAATGATAACGTCATGATCACAAAGACCCAAAAGCATAATTTTGGAGTTTCGGTTTCACGATTGAACAAACTAAATTATGGAGAGATTGGCCCGTGATTAAAAAGACTTTGAAAATTTAATAGTCGAGCTATAGGGTCGTGATAGAAAATACAAATTTTAGAGCATTAGCATAATTTTGGAATGATAAAGCTGATATTGAAAAGACTAAATTATTAGAATTTACGAAACTAAAACACAAAATCAAAGTAGAAAAGGAACTAAAGAAATTCATTGAAAAGTCCTGTTTTATATAATTACTTGCGCGAAATTATTTTGTCATTATAAAACTAACTAAAATTAAATAAAAATAGAGATTCAGGCATCAATATTTCACTTGAATTGATTTAAAAATTAAATTTCATCTAAACTTTCAGTTACAGCATCTTACTATGTATATATGAAATTGGCTAGTATAACTAGCAGTCTGAAATTCAAATTTGATATTCATAATGCAATGCTTATCAATCCCTGCATAACTATAATATAGGAAGAGAGAAAAAAGAAATAGCATTAAAATGACCACACCCACTCTTTTGGTCTATCCTTTGGACTACCTTTGAAGACAACATATTGTCACTTGTTGGATAAGTTTTTTTTTTGTTATTTGAGTCATTACCAAATTTGTAATAGCTCACGCAATATCCTTCTATATTATGACATAAACCAACAAACCTACTTGTTAGGGTTGATTTTCACTAGTTTGAAAGGCCTGTGATCATAATATTTAATTAGATATTGACAATAACCAATGATGGCAGTCACAAGAACACTGAAATAAGTGTCCCAACTACATTGCCCAAACTTCTACTAAATATCTTATCCCCTTGTGAAAATCCTTCCCTCTGTCTATGCCAAGTGTTGACTAGGGCCCTAAGTTCACCTTTTTGTGAAATAACGAATCCTATCCTAATTTAGTTATGCGCCAAGTTGTGATCATTCAACTTACAAATGCTCAATTGAATTCCATTATCTCTTCTTTTCTTATAGGAAGTAACAAATTATTTTTCAAAAAATTGCACTAAGAAACAGTATTACTCACACCATTTATTAGTACAATTTTTTGAAAAATAATTTGGCACCTAAAAATATCTCATTTTCTAAGATAATGACGTATTAATAAAGCAAACATGCATTGGTTGGTTAATGAAGAAAAACCCATATTCTCTTAAGATAATCCACCTCAAAATGAGCCTTAGATTGCAAGCAAAGTTTGGCATAAGTCTAGTAACAAAAAGTAATACTCAAGACAATAGGTTTAGCAACAAAAAGTAATAAGATTAGTATAGTCATCAAAGTATAGTGTAAAGATGGTAAAGTAATAACTTCCTGTCATATCTTCCACCTCTCATTTGAAAATTTGATAACGGTCAAGTGCATGCATCTATATATGTGAGCAAATATTAATAACGACTATGTGAACACATTTAGGTGTATGTATTAGGCCTTGTTGAGTTGGTGTGCGAGCATTTATTATGATGCTTGGAGAGAGAGAGAGAGACAAAAAGAGAGGGGTATCAGACTACACATAAAAGGGAATATGAGGTTGGTTGTGAATTTTTTGCCGATAGGGAAAATTACAAAAAAAAAACCCAAGACTACACTTTTTATTCAACATACTTCTAACCTAATTTTTTTCTTTCACTTTTTTTCTCAAAATACACTTTCTATGCAAAGGGAAAGCTTTTTATGATCCCCTTACACCATAGAAGTTCTACATTCCCCTTTATCCAACCGTCCATTTTTTAATTGAGGACTAATATTGCCCCAATCACAATGTCACATCTTTACACTGTTTTATTTTTAACTTTTTTCTATAAAATTTTTTTACACTAAATTTTGGACGTCCATTCCTCTATTAAACTCGCACTAACGAAAAATAAATAAAAAAATATTTTTTGCTAAAATAAAATGACCAAAATACCTCTGAAATATTGTTAATATTTTGGTCATTATTTTTTATCTAAAAAATATTGTTAATATTTTGTATAGGTGCACCCCAATGAGAAGATAGCACGTACCAAATTTTATATTCAAAAAAATTGTATTAAAAAAATTAAAAAATAAAATAATTTGAGACGTCGGATCTAAGATCAAACGGTGAGTGGCTCTCTTGATAAAAAATGGATGGCTGGATGGTAGGAGGAACATACAACTTTTATGGTGTAGGGGAACCTAGATAGCTTTCCCTATGCAAATACCCCCAACTAAATAAAGAATAAACCCTTACTTTTATCTAGCCATACCTCTCTCTCCGATACTGCGTAAATGTGTGCCGGTAGTAGGGCTCCAGTACTCTATAAAGTGTGGTCCAGCAGTAGGGCTCCAGTGTAAAGTGCGGTCTGGCAGTTGCAAGGGCGGTCCGGCAGTTGCAAAATGGCGGTCTCATAGTTGCAAATAGCGGTCAGGCAATACTCAGTTTTGGTCTGGTAGTTGTCGTAAAGCTGTCCGGCACTTGTGTGCTCTGCCAATGTGATGGTGCGATCCGGCAATATGCTATTGAGGTCCAAAGTCAACATCAAATCTAGCCAAAATGATTTTTGTTCGGTTTAAAAAAAGTGAACTTTTTCCCTTAGGGGTATTTCAATAGAAAGTTTGTTTTGAAGAAAAAAGTGAGAAACAAAATTAAGTTGGGGTAAGTTGCATAGAAAGTGTGGTCATGAGTTTTTTTTTTTTTGTAATTTTTCCTACTAAATAATTAAGTGCGGCAATTTGTGGCCCTATATTATCTGATTTATTACCTAGAATACAGCATTTTCCATAAGAATAAGAATCTCATTATCAACAGAAAGTAGAAACCTCATTGGAAAATCTAATTTTGTCTCCACCCATGCATGCTTGTAAGTAAACAATGACCCAAAATAACTTCCATCCAAATCTCAAAACCCAAAAATAGAATGGAATTGGAAGTAAAGTGGTGGAAGAGTGAAGGCAAGGTTGCAATACACATGCAAACTTTTAACCCAAATTATCTCACATTGATTATGAAGAATCTCTCAAGAGAGGTAGGCCACCTCTCCTTTGAGAGAGAGAGTAGGGCCCACTTTCCCACTTGAATTAGAGAGTAGGACCCACTTGAAAAGTGTGATAAGGCATATGTCTCATTTCTAAGAATGGCTTCTTCACCAAACTGACTTGTCATGCATGCACAACACAGGGAACCACCTTTTAAACCCCACCCTGCACAACCCTTCTCCATATCCATAGCTTCTCTCTCTGAATCACCATGGCATCTCAGAAATCCGACAACTCCGACTCTCGCACCGTCACCGCCCCGTCGGCCACCACCACCACCACCACCACCACTGCAAGCACCGGCCTCACCACCCCACCCTCCCCTATGCTCGATTGGCTCCACTTTAATTCCATTCCCAAGGAAAATGAGGCTGAGAGCTCTGCTTCCCGAAATCCTGGAAATCAGTATCCGTGCGCATACTGTCCACGCCTCTTTTCAAACTCTCAGGCATTAGGCGGCCATCAGAATGCACACAAAAAAGAGAGGATGGCCACTAAAAAGGCCCTGAAATCTAAACCAAATGCAAGCCAATGCCTCCAAAACATCGTCCCTGCGCCACCTAGCTCGACCATGAGGTACGTGAACCCGTATGAACAAGCACAGATGCAGCAATGGGCTTGGGCTCACTACGCTGCGGTGGCCCATAACTTTAGCCGAAGCAACATGTCCGGAAACGAAAGAGGAGCCAGTGCTTCTCCATTGATGCTTAATGCGATGGAAGTGGGATATAATGCACCAGGTATTGCCCCGACTGTAAGCCCCAATGATCAGTCGAGGGCTGAGACGGTCGATCTGACGCTGAAACTCGCAAGTAATGTGGAGCCAATCGATCTAACTCTGCATTTGTGAAGGATCGACGGTGATGCTTTCATGGGGAGGGATAAGGCCATGAGCCGGCGCACTTTAATTGGAAACATAATTAAATTAAAATGAAAGAAGGATGTAATTGACAGCATTCTATGTCCCATGAATCTGCATCATGGGGGGCAGATTGCCTCTTTTTTTCGTTATTTAAGTAGTTTTTTTATTTTTTTATTCTTTATTTATTTTTACTGTCATTTGTTGAGTTCGGTCTATGTAGCATGAAATCTGCAGCATCGGAGGCAGATTCCCCAGTTTTTTTTTTTGTTATTTATGTTTTTTTTTTTGTGCGATTAATTCTTTTGCTGTGTTTAGGAGTAGTTTTAAAGGAACATAGTGTAAGGTGACATAGATGCAGACAAATATACGATAGTGCCTACAAGCTTACGCAAATGTACATCACACCTTTCGCGTGGTGCTCCGTAAAAATACCCACACTCCATTATTCTTTATTCTATGAACATAAGGCATGAAAGTGTTTTAACATAAATACCGCTCAATTCTAATTCTATTATGTAGTGTCTCACTAAAAGCCACTTCTCTCTCTCTCTATTAAAATCTTAGAAAAACATATGAGGGATGTATTATTTTGAAATACGACATAATATTCTTCAAATAAAAAATACTGACATTTTTCCAATGGATATTCTAGTTGGATTCACTCATGCATCAATGGTAAGAGCTTCTTTGTTTTTCTTTGTACTTTTTTTTTTTTTCCGGTTTACCTACCTACATCGAAATCTCTCTCTTAGTTAGTTAGTGGGAATGACAAGTTACTACCCATTTTTATGAATCCGTCAGTGAAAATGGAGGTCAATACCTTTAATTGGGTTTGGATGGTACTAACAGCATGACCCAGCCCCATTCCCAAAAAGGCCTCTCTCTCATGACATATGTGATCTTAGTGATGAGTATTGCATTTTCTTTTTCTTTCTTCTGATTAGCAGACAGGTTTCACAATCCTCGTGTTGTCTCGTTACTTAAATAGTTGTTAATACGCCTTTCCTTTTTCTGATTTGTAAACTCTAGAAGGCCCTTAATCCTCTATTTTGCATCGCATAAGTTAAAAATGGCATCTTCAATAAACATTATGCACATAACATATAAATATTATCCATATTATACAACAAGATAAGAAATACAAAGACAAGGCCAACATAAATGCTCTTAAAGAGAGCATGCATGTGAAAATAGAAAGCATCTTTTGGCATGGCTGCCCTATTCCAAGTAATATTGTTTTTCTCTCCATTTACATTAATCACAAACTAGATACATATATACATTATAGCAAGATAAATGAGGTTAGTTTTTATATCTATTTGCGGAAACGCCACCTTCTCTTTTTAAAGTTCATTTTTCTCAAGAATATTTTTAAAGATTATACTAAAAAAAATGTCTTCCATTATTTTATTTTTTTCGTTTTTTGTACTTTTTATCGATTTTTATTTCTATCACTGTATATTTTATTTAGGGTGCAGTTTTGCATAAGGTTGCAACATTAAACAATCAAAGTGAAGTGCACATCCAAACTTTGTCATAAGATACAATTTTGGCATTGAACATTCTACGATGGTGCGAGAATCTATTTTTATGTCTAATTATAAAATTCTAAACTCCAAAAAAGGTTCGATTCAAGCAGATCTATAAACACATGAAAATCGAGAACATGGACAGTCCAGATAATGTATTCCAAAATGTACTATGTTTAGGGCTGGGAATCTCTTTTTTACTTCAAATCTATACATCTCAATGTCGAGAGATGATTATTTATATGATTTTCCAACATTAAAACAACAATCGTCAAAGGATTTTAGAGGTGCATATTAGTTCTACATTATAAGGTGTCAACCTCATATAAATATTTCCTTTTAATTTATGACAATAAATGCTAGCATATCATGGTGAAAATATCATTTTATAAATAATTTTTTAAAGTTTTTATTGAAGAATAGATTTTATCACCCTTCTTCTTCTCATTCTTGTACAATTTATTTATTTTTTATTTCGATCAATAGATATTTAGTTTACGCTACTAAATACTAACATTTCATTGTGAAAAGCAGTATTCCATGAATATGCTTTAGTGTACACAATGAAGGAAGGCAAAAATATATGGAAAAGTATTCAATGAGACCATTTACCCTGGTACAAGGTGGTCACAATTAATTCCGACCATTGGATGTGAAATTGGGTGGTTGTATATATTCTATTGACTAAACTTAAAGTTCAAAATAAAATTTTTTGAACTTTGTGACACATCCAAGATATCAAATTTCAGATCGGTTGGTTATAAGTAATTGTGTCCTTCTTGTACCACAGGCAACCCCAAAACATATGTATCACTTGAGAACATATTAAAAAGAATATGCAATATTTAAGATGCCAATAGATTCCAGGTTTTGTCATTGTAAAAGGTCCAAAGAGCACTATAACGTATATTGCCCTTGGCAAACAATATGTTTTCCTTCAAAACCTTTCACCTTAAAAATGAAGGGCAAGCTTTCTATGCTTGCATAAAACTTATATACTTCACCCTATCCAATCCTCCATTCTGAATGGACAGCTGAGATGACCTCAATCACAATGTCATGCATTTACATTTTTTGTTTTTATTTTTTTTTTCAAAATATTTTGACGCCAAATTTCGAGCCTCCACTCCTATTTGAAACTCGAAAATTTAAAAATATAAAAGCAATATTTCCAATAAAATAAAATTTCCAAAATACCCCTACAAGTTTCAAGGGGTATTTTGGTTGTTATGTTTTTTTGATTTTTTAAAATGTTTTTTTAGGTGCACCCCATTTAGAAGATGACATGTATGAAATTTTATATTCAGACAATTTATATAAAAAAACTAAAAATAAAATACTCTAAGGCGTCGGATCTAGATCAAATGGTCAATGGCTCACTTGATCTAAATTGGACGGCTGGATGGAAGGAGAAGTATGTATCTTATATACTATAGGAAAAGTATAGAAACCTTTCCAAAAAAAAAAAAATAGAAGGAAAAAAGAATAAACTAGAGCATCATATTAGCAAAACACTACATTTTGCTTTGGTGTCTTAAGATGTAGGTTAGACACAGATGAGTTGAGATATACCAAGGAAAGGGTTGATGATCTCCTCTCTAACTTCCTTTTTATAAATAAATAAGTACGAGAGAAGAAATGGTGATGCAAATTGCGGTCAGAAGTTTTGGATTCCGGGATGAAATTGTTACTTTCAAGATCTTTTGGTCATCGGGATGTAATCGTCATTTTTAAGATTGGTTTTATTCAAGAATGAATTTGTCATTGCTTTCTTGTTTGGGGCCCAATATGTGTTTGTCATTTTCTCTTTGTTTGTTTGATGATTTTGGGATTTTTTAAGGTCTAGAGAATTTGGTATAGAGACAAGTAATTTATTGTATGAAAGATTTCACGAGTCCAAAAATCAAAATTGTGTACTTTTAATGCATAGGAATTTGGCTTCGTGCATGGGAACTTGGGTGCAAGAAGGTTGCATGCAAGTATGGGAAATAGGGACATGGGTAATCTAGTTATTTTCACATTTTACTAGAGGTATTCTGGTTATTTATTAGTTTTTGCAAATAGGTTTTTATATAGGGTGCGGTTTCTATACGGTTGCAACCTTAAACAATCCAATTAAGGCGTACCTTAAAACTTTATCATAACATGTAATTTGTTGTAAAAAATTCTTAGTATTATCTTAAAATCTATTTTCATACCTAATTAAAAAAAATTTAATTCCAAAACTTGTTAAAATCAAGTAGATATATAAATATATGAAAATATTGAAAATGGACGGTCTAGATAATGTGTTGCAAGATGCACTATTTTCGGGATTCAAATTTTTTTTTTTTTTTTTTTTTCATATTTATAGATCTCTATGTCGAGATGATTAATTAGAGGGTTTTTTTAATCATTAAAACAACATTTTCAATAGATTTTTGAGGTGCATCTGTGATTCTACATTTCAAGGTTGCAACCTTAGGAAAACTTTTCCCTTTTATATATGGAACTATTAGCTATTTTTGTTGATAATTTGATAATGAAACATTCTTCCTGCTCCTTGGTGTGTGTGTATATATATATATATATATAAATCGCTTATAGACAAAAATGAACAGTGATTTCACCTACTCTCATCACCGTCTCATCTTTGTGTACCAAAAGCACCTTGATTTGAAAGGCCATCTATGTAATGTGAGTACCTTGAGTTTGGTAAGAGTTAAGGACTAAAATTCCGTCATATCTTGATCAAGATCAAGAAGTAGGGTCGTTGTTGTACAATCAGCCTTGGATCTAAACTTTTTTATGCCAGTTTTTTGGACCATTTGGTATTAGAGCATTATCATATATTGAAGGGACCATTTTTCCTTCCTTGACGGTGATTTAGGAGTCTTGTTGCTTAACCGGTCAATCGTCTCAGTTGGTACCGATTTTGTATTATTTGGTGTCAATGCCACAGTTGGTGAGTTTCATTGATTGTGACGGCTGCTCGGGGTAGGGGTCATGGCCAAAGAAATGTACGCCGTGAAGTCATTAGTCGGTAGAAACTGTACACAATCCAACGGAGTCGGTGGTTGTGCTTTTGCAAGATCAAAATCGGCGAAATGTGAGGTCACCAGTTATAGACTCCATATATGAGGGCTTGTTTGGGGAGCACCGTGAGTCAGAGATCGAGACAACTTCTTCTAGCTCAGAAACGGGTACTGATTCAAGCGAAAGGATTGGTAGATAAAGGTCTCAGCGAAGGCAAGAGTCGGATGGTGACTCAAGAGTAAAAACTGGGAGGAATAGATGACCAAGGCGTTAAAGTTGACTTACCTGAATTTTCTAGTAGTTTATCACAGGAAGAATTTTAAATGTTGATTCCGGGGACTTCAATCCTTTAAGCAAGTCAGTTCTTAATGATGCAAGCTTTTCCCTTACATAATCTTGCTTTTTGGACTTGATCCCATCAACTTTCCTTGCAACAACTACCCCGATCATATATGGCATGTTAGGCAAGCTGAGGGCAAAAAAGGAAGTACTAGTTCTTTGGATTTTGGATGCTTTATTATTGTGGTATGACGTGAATTATTGTATATGTAAATGCATATGTGAACTATATATATATAAATGCTTATATAATATACAAATGTGTCATGTCAAAATATCAATTTTTGAGATTCATAATTTTTTACATTCATATCCAAGTCATAAATAAACATGCATATGAGTATCTATGTAACATACGGTACAAGTGTTCCAATACCCGCACAAAACACAAGCACTTTACATGGATCGGAGCAAGAGATAGAACTCTCAATAAAAGCAATGTGAGAAAAAAGAGGAGTTCCACAAACAAACATTTGTCTACTGTGTAAAGTGGACAAGGACACCAATCCATTTGTCATTTGGTTTTCGTAAGATAAGTGGGTATTTTAACTCTGAGTTCCAATGGGCGCTCTCCCAAATGTTGAACCAACCAATACTACGGAGTTCCCCTCCCCGTCTATTGTCTAAATTGGGAATATTGCTATGGATGATAATAGTTGGCAAATATGGAAGGAGAGAAATTTGAAACCATTTACGGGATAGTACAAGGACTAAAGATCGTTCAAACAAAATCTAAGGTTTGTATATAATTTACTATTACTACAATGAGGTCACAATCAATCCTAACTGCTAAATGTCAAATTTGATGGCTTAAGGTGTTTCATTAAATTTAAATTTTTTTTTTTTGAACTTCGAGTCTAAGTGATATACTTATAACCATCTGATTTAAAATCTCACAGACATGAGTAATTATATATTATATCATATTACTATACAACAGTTACATAAAATCATTGTCCTATATATTGAATTAGTCTAAAAAGGCGGCTAGCTTTGGCTATAGAACCTACCTGACTTTGATAGGCAAAACATCTATCCATGCTACCGTACACCAAATCTAAAGAATGCTAGAGAGGGACTAATGGCAAACTCTAGCTACCTTTGGCTATAGAACAACGGAGCTTAATCCAAACCATGCAAGGAACTCGAGGCTTTTGCATACGTGGGTCTAACGGAGCTTAATCCAAACCATGCAAGGAACTCAAGGCTTTGCATACGTGGGTCTAAGTTCCCCTACTCTTTCTTTTGGAAGAGCACGTATGAAAGTAAAGGCAACCATATTAAAGAAAGGGAAAGTAAAGAAATAAGGACAAAATGTCTCCAGTGCTTTTTCTTGATTCAAGTAGATCTCAACATTACATTGTTCCATATGAACCGCTCAATGAACTCGAAGGAGCAATTTAAAGAAATAATCGGAGAAGAGGCCAATACTGACACAATGAACATCAGCAGGAGCAGGATGACCAATTACTATGTCATCCCGTCCCCAAATTGTTGTCTGTCAGAACCGTTCCTTCGCGCAACACTGAACCACCATACGGTGGTCCAAATAGACTAATTCTCCAAGAGCTCCAAAAAAATAAAAATAAAAACAGAAAAAAGCAGAAAAAAAGTTTACACGCCTCTCTGGCTCTCACTCATTCAAAATACCACATCTCATGAACCTTCATTCATGCTATTATGAGGCATGAAACCAGAAAAGGAAACCAGGAGAAGCAATTCTCTACTCCCATCTCAAACAACATCCCCACCTTCCCGACCCCCTCCTCATCCCAAAATATAGTAATAATGATCCCCAACATGTCTAAAATGGTACAAGCCAACAATTTCACCAGCTGAGCAGGATTTCATCATCGAAAAGGGGAAAAAAGAATAGGAAATCGAGAAGAGCAACTACATACATTACCCCTTCTCTATCGAATCAGGTTGCTGCTCTATATCCTTGGTTTCTGTTGACTCCATTTCTACAAGCAATTTCTCCTCCTCTCCACCACCCTCCTTTTGGGCTTGCAGCTTAACAGGCGCAGAAGGCTTGCTAGAGGATTGTTGATAGAGAACTCCCCCAAGCACGCAAATCAAGAGTCCAAGTGTCCCAATAAAAGTTGAGTGCTTATCCCAAATTATCCAGTTTATCACAACAGTGAAAAGTTTATTCACAATACCCAAAACAGTAAAGCCAGTGGCTGATATAGCCCGCCTACAAGAGAACCCAAAAAAAGAGATAGAGAGCCCAAAGAGACATGACAAACCCACTGGTAAAACTACACTAGGTGAATACCAATGTAACTCCTCCGAAATATCGTGCCTTATCTTCTTCAATTCCCCCATGATCAAGAATTCTATAGGAAAGAGAAGTAAAGCCTCAAGATTGTTGTAAAGAACCAAGCCCCATGTGTTCAACCCCATGGTCATGACCACATGCTTTATGTATACAAAGTCAATAGACATGCTCACTAGGTAGGCCAAGGCCCAACTGTAGGCAGTGACTGTGAATTGATAATCCGTCATGACATAGATAACACTGCCACCAAAGATTGTAAAGAGAGAAAGCCAGGCTTTTGGAGAGGGCCATGGCTGTTTCAAGTAGAGGGTCTCTCCTATCGCTACAAATATGGGAACAGCTGATCGGAAAACAATGAAAGTATCCACATTTGCATGGAGAAGGAGCTCACTGTTTGTGAAGAGAGAGAGATAAAAAATGATAGCAGCTGGCAAAAACCTCCACATGGTTTGAATATCGAGGGGATCATGCGCTAGGAGCCTGAGTTGCCCACATAGAAAGACACCAAAGGCACTGGTAAAATATTGCAAAGCAGTTAGAGCACCTGGGTAGGGGAATTTCATAACTGCCCATTTGTTGATTATAGACAAAAAAGATGCGGAGATGCAGTATCCTGCAGCAATGCCATAGATGGAAGCAAATTGTAACAAATAAGTGGAAGTTTGGAAAAAGAAAGGTCGGGCCTCTGCGGAGGGTGTTGGATTATCAATGACTTTGCACGTATCATCCTTGGTGGCTGCTGTACTGCTCATCATCTGGAAGGATCAGAAGCACCAAGTAAATGAATCAAAAATCCAAAATTGTCATGTAGTCATTATTCAGGGTCTATTTCAGAGTGAAGATTCTGTTTTTATAAGTAGAAAAGATATATACATCCTAAAATCTCTGTATACTAGCAGTACAATAAACAATTTTTATACGTAGAAAAGATATGTACCATTCTAAAATCTGTGTATACTAGATGTACAATAAACAATAAAACTATTGAACTTCACGATGACTTCACACAAAGCTCTTAGAATAGGTTAATTATCTTAACCTTCATAGTCAATAACAAAGTAGAGGGGTGTCTTCTTGCCCTTATGAATTACAGCTCAAATAGCATTAACTGCCAAAGTTCATAAGCCCACTCTCATGATTCATGCAGCCATGAAGTTCTTAACTCGCTTTTCAACCTCTTAGCACATGGAGTTCAAATCTCATCAAACTATAATGACTTTATCAGTTTGTAGGTGAGTTATGTTATGTTTCCAAAGTCTGCTTGAAGATCACCGCCCCTCATCCTCCTAAAAACCAAAACCTTAATTTTCACACCATCATTCAGTATTTTCATGCAGTTCATCATAAAAAAAACCTGGCAAAGTTGTCATGGTTATCAATTCCAATGCAAGTTCAGGAGAAAAGAGGGGCAAAAATTGAGCACTGCCCAAGAATAAGTTTGATCGTGTTTGCTACAATAGTCCCCACGTACAGGAAATTTATAATGAAATTACGAGGATTCTTTCCTTGGATGGAAGAAGTCCGAGGACTCCTCACTGAAATACAAAGACATCTACAAACAACAATGAAAACTGGGCTCCAGGGTTGGACTTCAAATGTTACTGCTGTGAAACCCTTGTTTTGAAAACTTTGTAGAGAATAGATCGTTATGAAAGAATAGGACAAATCTGTGCATGTGAGAACTATGGCTTCAGGGAAGAACTACATTGAGTTACTGTCGTAAATTATTTTCAAGAATTAATCATTGTTCCATTAGTACAAGCTAAAGTTCACTTTGAGACTTTGAAGAAACTTTCATTAAAGCATCACTACTCATGCTTCCAGCAAATTCCTAACCATATATATATATATATATATATATATATATATATATATATATATATATATATATATATAGTAATATATATATATATATATACTAGTACTATACTACTACTACTTACTACTATACTACAACTTA